TGATGGAAGGAGAGGGACAGGCAAAAGCAAGTCAGCATTCATATCTGTTACTTGTAATGTAAATATGGGAAGAGGCCAAATTTTCCCCATAGCTGGAATATATGTTACAACTCCAGTCTTTTCACACCATGTTTGTGTGCAGCCATGAACAATTTGAATAACAAAAGACTATTGGACCATGGGGTATTTTAAAAAGTAGCTATCAAGATAATCACAGGTGTTGCTTAGGGCTTCCTCCACCCTTTGCAGGAACGGCCCACGCTTTAAAGCTCCATGTCCATTTTTGTTTGTTTTGTTTTTGTTCCAGAGCTTTCCCTGTGAAAACCTCCTCTTTAAAGCTGGATCAGAGCAAATGGCAGTCCGCAGAAAGCCTGAATTGCTGTTGGTTGCCCTTCAGCTTTGAAGAGTGGGTTTTTGTGGGGAAAGCTCCAGGGCAAAGAGAGAGAGAGAGAGAGAGAGAGAGAGAGAGAGAGAGAGAGAGAGCTTGGACTTAGAGCTTTAAATTGCAGACCTGTGCCTGGAAAAAGCAGGGCAACAGGTAAATGTGGTTGAGCCCTTCGCATCTCTGGCTCTGATTCTAAACAGTGAAATGAGTGTCCTGCATATTCCACACAATATCTTTTAAGTGGAAGAAGAAGAGAGATTATACAGATTACCCTAACTCTCACACTCTCTAAATTAAAGCTTCATAGCAATGAATTGTCTTCATCTATTCCTGGTTTGTGCATTTGCTTCCATTTTGTTTCAGAACTTACATTGTTTCATACTTAGCATTCTATGGCAATCTGTAGAGAGCTGAAGAAATGTTGTGTAACATTTCAAAATCAGTATTCCAGCCAGGTATCCAGGAACACTGAAATATAATTTTCTGAATTCTGACCAGCTAGGAATTTTTGAGTGCAAAACTACTATCATAAGCATACAGATTACAAGCCTGTCTAGTCCTTTTATCCTGCATCAAATGATACTGAGAAAATGGCATGGGGACTCTTGAAAAGCATATAGCAAAGGGGAAACCATGTCAAAAGGTTGCAATAGAAAGAGCATGCCATTTTAATTCATTTTAAATGGAACACTGAATAGACTTTGCTTTCTGATAGCCTATAGATCTGCCTCAAAGACTTTTCTTACTCCAAGGCATTGTATGCAGTACCTTTTAACACAGCATTGCAAGTATTTTTGCAAAGTCATTCCAATGTTTCTCTCCAACTTCCCATTCTCCTTTCTCTCCTTCCCCCTCCCATGTTCCAGAATTTGGAAGTTCAGGGAGCCTAGGCCTGATAAAAATTACAGATATGCAAAATAAAGACTTTTCCTAACCAAATACCTATGATAAGCCCACATGCAGGACCGTAATGCAACTTGTTATTCCAGGCAACTGGTATTCAGAGGCCTGCAGCCTCCAACAGTTAGGGTAGAATATAGTCTTTGTGACTGGTAGCCACTGGTAGCCTTTTTCTCCACCAAAGTGAGCAGATGTGCAGCAACAGCTGCTCTCTTTCTCCAACCCTATCCTCTTTTGACTCTTTAAAGCCAGCAGGGGCTGTTGGGATAGCCTGTGGGTGCTGCTTCCAGCCATAATATACTCCATTTGTCTCTGTAGTGATGCTTTTAACGTTTGGTGATGTGTGACCTGTATGATTTTATACAGGAACTGTAGAATTAGAAAGTCAAATCAGCAGTGCATCTTAACGTTGCTTCTTTGCATTAGGGACATCAAAAGCAAAGTTTGCCATTTCAAGAGGAGTGTGTAATGATGTAAATTGATGAGCAATCTGCATAATATACATTATGTTCAGGTTCACTGGCAAAAGGCAATATGTGGTTCTTTAGGACTGCATGCTATCTTGGAGATCCAGTTTTTGTACCATTTGTACACAGTTGGGTGACTTATCTATACCAAGACAAGACTAGACTAGGGCTGTTTCCCAGTTCACATCCACACCGACACCCGAACCAATTCAATTATTTTTCTTCACTAAGGGTTATCTACTGGCTAGCAAGCACTAAACCTCCTTTCTTCTGTCTGCCCTAGACTTTGATACATCCAACAAGCACCAGCAATTGGTGCACAGAATAAATATATGTTGTAGCCATTTTAGGATTGCCAGGGCTTGATTAAGTACAATTTGGGATTTGCAGAGCTCATACTGTCCAACATTTCTATGATTAAAATAGGGACATCCCATTCCATAATGATAATTTTACTATTTGTACCCCACATATATTACTGGGTTGCCCCAGCTACTCTGTGTGTGTGTGTGTGTGTGTGTGTGTGTGTATAAATTAAAAAATTTCCGCATACAGGATTTCCTTCAGAAGGCTCAGGAGTCGGATAACCCCATACCGTCCAATATTTCTCCAATAAAAATAGGAAAGTCCTAAGGAAAAACAGGACATTCCGGGATCAAATCAGAAACCAGGACAGCATCTCTAAATCAGGGACGTCCCTGGAAAATATGGACACTTGGAGGGTCTGAGAGCTCAGTGTTTGACCTGAAGTTTCAGGGTCTCAGATTCTTCTTAGGAGAAGGAGTCTCAAAGTGAAGGGCAAGAATTAAGGGGGGCAGCTTTTTTGCCATTCACTGTGCCAGGCAGTTTTTCATATTCATCAGGCTGCAGCCAGAGTTACCAGGCACAACCATGCTCCCTCTCAGCCAGGTGCCACCCTCTGCTGTCACTTGGATCAGCTCCATCCCAAGAGGTTCCACTCCTTTGGTTTCCAGGCATGAATCAGTAGTTCTCTGCTTCACACAGCATCCCCGGGTCTGAGCCTCAGGTGATGACCTGACAACCCTAATACTGCTGGAGGGTACAGGGACATTAACTTGTGTAGGCTTATAAAGCATTTCCACAACCCACTGAGCTTGTTGTCACACCAATGCCATTAGCTTGTTCAGCTTCAGTACAGTTATTTCCACTGGTAGGAGCAAATAAATAACTCTTCAGAGTGTCCCATAGGAACTGCATGGATTTCTGCGGTGAGGCAGAGAAAATATTGCTGTGGGCATAAAGAACACAAGAGAGTCACTTACAGTAAAAGTGAAAGAGTATAATAAAGTTTTGCAGGCTGTGTTACAAGACCAAAAGATAAAGAAAAGTAATAAACTTCAAATTAAACAATGAGCTGTAATGGTTACACACAGGAGTAGCTGCTCTGATGGAAAAGTATGCTGCCTAGCAGACATCTTGCATGCAGTGGGGTTCCTGGTTCTCATTTCCTTCTCTATTAAATTAAGCCAACAAAAAAAAACTTCTGTACAGTTTGATGTGCAGTTGTAGTTCATCTTTTCACCATTAACAATATTGGCTAAGATAAAATCAACAATGATTATGAGTAACTAGATTAGAGGTACCATTGATCTAATTCAGAATGTGGGACCTGCTTTAATTCTATTTGTGTTTACTGTTGGATAATTTCAAACTTATTTGATGCTGAAATGTTTTGTTTGAATGAGTTCTGAACCACAAGTGTGTGTGTGTGTGTGTGTGAGAGAGAGAGAGAGAGAGAGAGAGAGAGAGAGAGAGAGAGACCATCACCACAACACAGAATTAAAAGTGCATATTCATTTGTGATCATCCTAAACCAATTTATTGAAATGTGATACTGAAGGCAAACCACAAATCTGTGCCTAGTAAAGGACAGAGGTGGACATAATGCATCAGATCTGGAATCTCAATATGAAGGCAATGTCTGGTTATAATTTAATGAAAGTAAACACAAGCGTGTGTAGCTATACATTTATAAGCTTACCATGTAATTTTACCTTCCAAATGTTGGTTCCTGTTGTTTTATCTTCTGCTGAAGCACTTCTCCAGATACAACTCTTGGGGAAGCTGATTTGGTGCTGGTGACCTGCCTGTGGAATGCTCTCTGTAAAGAGATGCACTCAGTTACCTACAGTTCCCAGACATTTGAATTTCTATAATGCCTAAGACTCCAATCCTAACTCCACTTACCTGAGAACAAACCCCATTGAAATTAATTGGACTTATTTATGAATAGACATGGTCAAGATTCTATTGTGAGACTACTGTGCATTTTTAGCTGGAGACTAATATTGTTTTTAATACTATGGATTTATTGTGTATTTTAGTGTTATGTTGTTCATTGCTCTGGAATCTATTGGATGAAGGGCAGTATAGAAATGATTGGTAGATAGATGATAGATAGATAGATAGATGATAGATGATAGATAGATAGATAGATAGATATAGATAGATGATGATAGATAGATAAATAGATGGTAAATGATAGATAGATAGATGATAGATAGATAGATGACACTGGTCAACAACAAATTTGTTGTCTGCGTTTTTTCAGTTGATTTAGGACGAATCTGATGTGCTGAATCCAAAAATCACATTGGCTTTGCTCAATCAGGTCAAGTTTTTGAGCTATGGCCACATGTCGGTTTTTTACGTTTTTGTTCACATGTACGCTTGTGTGGAGCATTTTAGAAGAAGTTGGTGGGGGTAAAATGCCATGTCGAATAATTGTTTTGATTGGAAATGATTATTTTATTGACAAGAAGTATTCAGGTCCGATAGTTCTGAGTGATTATGTCGAAAAGGATCAGTTTGAAGTCATAAAACCTCGAAATCTTCCATAAATTGGTGTGCTGTTGATGTGACTGGGATCAACAGAAAGAACCGGAGCAGCCTCAAGTATCCTGATCTTCAATCAGCACGTCGTCCTGTAGCTCATTGTGATGAAATTCCAGTGCCTATCTTTGGAGAACTTCCTGACATTAGTGACGAAGATGCCTCCAGTGTTGAAGGACATGAAGAAGAAGAAGTGGTTCTTGAAGATGATGCTCCACATCCATTTTCCCAAAAGGAGTTGAATGATCTAGTTCGCGACCTCAGCTTGTCAAAGGACTCTGCCGAACTGTTGGCATCCAGATTGAAGGGGAAAAACCTCCTCTCTGACAGTGCTCGCATCAGCTTCTTCCGCAACAGGCATCAAGAGTACCTCCGTTTTTTCTCGGAAGAGAAGGACTTTGTGTGCAGATATTGCGCAGCTTCTGCTCAAGCTTGGAGTGCCACAGTATGAACCCAAAGATTGGAGACTGTTCAGTGACAGCAGCAAGCAATCACTGAAATGTGTTCTGCTACACAACGGCAACCAGTTTGCCTCTATACCCCTGGCTCACTCGAGTACACTGAAGGAGAACCATGAAGCGGTGAAGTATGTGCTGGAGAAAATTGGTTATGATCAGCATAAGTGGTTTATTTGTGTTGACCTGAAGATGGTGAACTTTTTGTTGGGACAACAGTCTGGCTTCACCAAGTACACATGTTTTCTGTGCATGTGGGGGATAGTAGGGGCCGTGCTCAGCGTTACACGAAGAAGGACTGGCCTGTGCGGGAGGAATTGGTGCCTTGCAGAAAAAGGAATGTCATTAACGACCCTCTGGTGGACAGAGACAGAATACTCTTCCCACCGCTGCACATCAAGCTCGGCTTAATCAAGCAGTTCACCAAGGCTCTGGACAAGGATGGTGACTGCTTCACTTACTTGTGCCAGGCTTTTCAAGGATTGACCATGGAGAAGTTGAAAGCTGGCATCTTTGACGGTCCTCAGATCCGTCAGCTCATCAGAGATCCAGAGTTCGGAAACTCAATGAACGAAGTGGAACTGGAAGCGTGGAAGGCATTTGTTCTGGTAGTGAAGAACTTTCTTGGCAACAATAAGGCCAGAAACTACGCAGAACTTGTCAACAACATGCTGACTGCTTTCAGAAACCTGGGCTGCAACATGAGTGTCAAGATGCACTACCTATTTTCCCATATGGACTGGTTTCCTGAGAACCTGGGTTCAATGAGTGACGAGCAGGGGGAGAGATTCCATCAGGACATGAAAGAGATGGAGACCAGGTATCAGGGTCGCTGGGACGCAGTCATGATGGCTGACTACTGTTGGACTCTGAAGAGAGACCTGCCTGCCACTGAGCATTCCAGGAGTTCCAAGAAACGGAAGTTCAAGCCCTGAAGTTTGAAAAATGGTGAAGCAACATGCAATTTACATGTACTTACCTTTATCAATGCCCACCATTCAGTTTACAGTAATCGATGTTTCTATCAGGTAATCAATATATGTTGTTGGAAAAACATTTTTTTTCTCTTAAAAACATATTTAGGATGATATGTGTTGACAAAAATCAGCTGATAATGCCACAAAAATGTAATCAATTTTGTCACAAGATCTGATTTTTTCAAATCAACATAACACAAAAATCTGACCTGATGGAGAGAAATGGATGCCATTTCCTGATTCAGCAGTGCAAAAATACCCTAAATCAGTTGTAGAAATCTAGACAACATTCAAAAAGTAAAAAATTGTTGCCCAGTGTGATAGATAGATAGATAGATAGATAGATAGATAGATAGATAGATAGATGATAGATAGATGATAGATATTAAGATATTAAGATAGATTTTAAGAGCAACCTTCACCATTCCAACTGCACTAGGGCAAGACCCAGGAGCTTAGAAAGTAATAGTAGGTGAAGAGGGAAAAAATGGTTGCATTGTTTATCAAATGTTTGTAAATTTACACGGAGAAGCAGAAAGAAAGGGGGGGGAATGTGGTCCAGAATAGTCCACTCCTTAACCCCCTTTTCTTCAGTGATCCACTGGTTCCACAGTGAATCTTCAGTTCCGCAAATTCTCTCGATTGGAGGATTGTAACATAAACGCTACACACATTTTCAAGACAGGCACAGCCTATATTTACACAAACTATAAAGCAGTATACTTTTTGCAGCTTAGTTTATCCAATCTTTGATGTAAAAAGAATTAATTTCTCTTTTATGGATCTTTTTAATGTATCTTTGCACTTGGAAAATAACTGCTTCCACTTTTGTGTACTTCAAAAAGTACCCATTCTTAGAATAACATTCTTTTTTTAAAAAAAGAAAGAAACCCCTCCACAAATTTTTAATCTGATATTGACATCTGGCATAGCCTGACAAGGTGCATTTCCTCATCTGTGGACTGTTTGGTGTAAATGTAGCCCATGGTATCCAGAGACTACTGCAGATGGAGTATGAAATCATTTAATTTCAAGTTCTGGTTCTGCAGAATTTGTCAAGGGTAAAACTACTGGAGAAATCTTAACACCATGCACATTTCCAGGTTTTTCAAGCTGTTCACTCTATAAATTACATTTCACCCCTTTTAAAGGTTCCATTTAATTGACTTAAGAAAGATGGAGAAAACAAACTTGACAATATTATTTGAAGCTTTGAGTAGGCAGTTATGGAAAATTACATTAAAAGCATAATTGATCTTTTCCAGGATTATCCAGGGCTGCAATCCTATACACACCTGGGAGCACTGAATTGAAGTTGCACTGAATTCAGTGTGTCTTACAGTACTTCTGAATAGATATGTATAGGATTGTAGATTACTTTGAAGGGCTCCATTAGCATATCATAAGATGATCTAGTCTTTGCTAGAATATGATTTGTACATGAATCATGCATCTACCTAATACTTTTGAGTAGGAGAAGACATTAATTGGATGTTCAGTCATTTGAATAACCTTGTTTATGTAGCCATTCCTTTGGTATTTTTCACTCTGTAATTTTAATAATGTTAGAAGCTGGTTTCCTTTCACACTTTCTCTTTCAATACAAGCAGCTCTGGCACAAAATTCTAAAGTTTTGTGTCAACTTGAACTTTTAAATTAGAAACTTTTCAAATGTTCTTTCTATGATTAAGCTATACACTGGTGATTATTAGATGAGTTTCTTTTCATTCCCTGTGAAATATGACACCTATCTGGAAGTAAAGTCCATTGAACACATTGGGATTTCAGAATAAACACTCTTAATATTGCTTTGCATATCACATTAAGTAAGGATGGTCACATGCCTATATTTTCAGGCCATTCTTAAGTGTGGTCAGATCTACTGAAATCCAGGCTTGGGTCCCATGAAATCAACAAAACACCCTTAAGCATGCTTGACTCTGTATTGGATTGTGGTCATACCTACCGTAGTCTGCCTTCTGCCCTCAAACCTCCCTCAAACTATGAGAGTTATAAGTGAGTCTTAGTAAAGTTTAAAGGGCAGAAGGTAGGAGGTAGGGCTCAGCGATATCTGGTTTTCAACGTAGTGATATCAGCAGCTAAACGCCGTAATACTGTATGCCGATATGTCCAGAATGTATCTTGACTGCAAGACTTGGTGGCTATGTTAATTACCCAGGTTCAGAGGTAGAATGGCACTGAATACTAACTTCTTGGAGCAACAAGAGAAGTGGGCTGCTGCCATCACATCCTGTTTGTGGGCTTCACAGAGGAATCTGGTTAGCCGCTGTAGGAAACGGGATGTTAGACTACTAGATGGACTGTTTCACCGATCCAGAAAAGCTCTTCTGAAAGTAGACACTGCATAGTCCTGGATCTATCTATCTGCAATGGAAGAGAAGTGCAGGTGTTAGAAATTGTTCTCAAATTCTTATTACACAAACCTGAACATCATTTTTAAGTGTTATGAAATAAAGGTCTCTGGCCTTCTTTAGCACCTATAAATAAAACTGTATCAGAGGCCACCAGTCCAAGTCACCCTCATTTATCTTACAAATCCCAGAAGGGCTCCACAGCACAGTGTTAAAGTGAAGTGATAATGAATGCAAAGAAAAATGTCAGTTCCATGGATTAGGCAATGAATGTGCAATTGTCAAAACATTATGTTGTGCAACGGAGGACAATCAGTTCCTCTGTTGCCTCAGGCTAGTCCAAGCTCAAGTAAACAGCACACTGTAACAAGCAGACATTAATAAATGATAAAATTCATGGGATCTCTCCTGGAAGCGCAGAGCACACACAGCAACTCAATGCAGTGCTCTCTTCCTCCGCCCTGGTTTTCGCAGATTCTTGGTCTCTGTTGATACCAATGGTCAGTTCATTGAACTTTTTATCAACTATCTATTCAAGAGCCAGGAATGGCTAAAAGCATACAGAAAAGGGAAATTAGTCTGATTAGTCTGAGAAAATTCACAAGGAATATCTCAGAGAACTTAATGTTTTGATTGGTTGGCTTTGTTTCTGACCCTTCTTGACTTCCCTAAACGATTTTAAAACCACCATATAAGTCACAGGACTGAGAATTGTTTTAAGATGTTACATTTCAGTTGAATTGCCAAACTAAAATACTAATACAGTGGTACCTCAGGTTACATATGCTTCAGGTTACATACACTTCAGGTTACAGACTCCGCTAACCTAGAAATATTACCTCGGGTTAAGAACTTTGCTTCAGGATGAGAACAGAAATTGTGCTCCGGTGGCACAACAGCAGCAGGAGGCCCCATTAGCTAAAGTAGTGCTTCAGGTTAAGAACAGTTTCAAGTTAAGAACGGACCTCCGGAACGAATTAAGTACTTAACCCGAGGTACCACTGTAGTTAAAATAAATGTATTTCAGGCATTAAATATCACTTTATTGCTCAAAAGTATATTGCAAAAAATATATGTGTAGACAAATTTTCCACGTCTCTGATAATAAAGAGCTGGATGCTAAAACAGAGAACACTAGGCAGAAATAAGAGGTGTGTACTATAGCCAAACAGACATATGGTATGCTGCAATGAATTGACATAGGCACGCTATCCAAGGCAAAAGGAAACACTGTGAAAGAGTGAAAGTGATAAACATAAAGTATCCAGCCACCTCCACTAATAGTCCAGTTCTTTGAACCTGGGGCAACATACAACATTAAAAACTTCTAATACAATGAAATCTAGTCTAAAATTACTAAAATCCAGTAAAATCTCATCTAAGGAGCTGCAGCAATCACAAGTGTACTATATAAAAAAGGACAATGCCCCAACAATAAAAAGTCATGGCCTATAAAACTGCTCAATAAAACAGTACGCCATAGTCTCAGGTCCCTTAATACAGGGCCAGCTCTGCAGTGCAATAGCACAAAGCAATTTGCTTCAGGCAGCACCATGAAGAGGTGATAGATGAAGGAGGAATTTGTGTCAGGCGCAGCAAGATGTTTTAATGTCCTGGTCCTAGCAGGGTTCCACTTCAGGCAGCAAAATGCCTTGAGCCAGGATTGCATTAATGTCACTGAATGCCCCCTCTCCCAGTTGCCAACCTGCCAACTAGTCTGCAGTAGTTACCAACTGGTGGCTAATACACCTTTTCTTGAGTTGTAGGGGAGCAGCGGCATCCATTCTTGGATGAAACCGGTTATCTAGACCCATTTCAGTCTGGACCCAAACTCGGCTTTGGGGCTGAATAATCCTTCATCGCCCTGATACACCATTATCAGGTGAGGGCAAGGAGAGTGAGACCCTATT